TTCCATTTCTAATTCCTTCCTTTTGTCCTTTTTCTTCTTTCTTCTTTCTTGACGTTTCCTTAGCTGCTTTCCTACGGTTGGCACTGAAAATAAAACATTTTTTTTTTTTTTTTTTTAAATATATTTCACAATATTTTTATTCGTAACTGGGTCATGTGCATGAGATAATATTTTAAAAAAATGATTTAAAAGTAAAAGAAAAAAAAAAAAAGATACTTGAAAAATGAATTTATATACCATAGAAAGATTTGAAAATAAAGAAAACGATATCAGAAGTTTTCCCATAAAAAAAAAAGCCCAAAATCGAGACAGAATGAAACGAACGGGTCGGTCTCGATCTCCATCGAAGATTGGCTTTAACGAGTTTCCTTTGAAAACGCGGTTTTATCGAAGGATTGCCTGATTCCCTTTTTCTACCCGAATACTTTCCCCATTGGGCTTTTCTCAATGAAACGAGGAATAAAAAGGCAGAGAGAGAGAGAGAGAGAGAGAGAGAGAGAGAGAGAGAGAGAGAAAGATAAATTTTGAAAGGAAAAAGGTCTTCTTAATTAAAGACGATCCAACGTTCGAAAAAAATACAAATAAAATCGAACCTTTCCTTTTAGGTATAAGAAGATGGTTTAACCGATCAAAAAGAAGAATGAATTGTACTATGGGATAGAAAAAGAATAAATAAAAAAGGTTTGAGAAAAGGTTGATGGGAATACAGATTGTTGGTTTGAAACTGACACCAGTGATAAACACAAATTCCTTAACTTCACAAGGTTCTTTCCTAAAATCTTTTTTTTAAATATATAAAATTATTAAATATATAAAAAATGAATTATAATAAATTTGTATTATCTGTTTCACAATCTTAGGTTAACCCTTTGCACTCCGTTGTCGCCGTTGAGGCGACACAGCATGCTCGGAATGCAAATTGCTTGGAATGCAAAGGGCTAAATAAGAAAGGTTTCAATATTTGAACATTCGATTGTTACAAATGACAACCACGAATCACGAGCTACGATTGCAATCACAATGACGAATAGGAGGCTTTAACAGACTTAAGGTTTTCGTCTTTTAGGGAAAAATTAGAAAAGGCCAAATAATTTCTGTTCTGTAAGGAATTCCATTATAATATTCAGGTCGAGCAGGCTGCGTCGCCGTCGCCGTCGCCGTCGCCGTCGGTCGTCTTTGTGTCGCCGAAAAGGATTCTTTCCTTTTCTTTCCCTCTACTTCAGGTCTCAAACCCATGCCACATGCCTCTCACTTTTACCCTTCTCCTTCTTCGTCTTCGTCTTCGTCTAGGCCAACCCCCTCAACTCTCTGTTTGTCCGTAGAGTATCTTTTCCTACCATTCTATCTTTCTTTAGGTTTCTTTTTTTTTTTTTTTACTTTCTTTAGTGGTTTATTCCCTTCTCTTTTCAATTCTTTTGCTTTCTTATTCCACGAACGTTCTTATTGAATTCCGAGAAAGCAGAGAAAGAGTCACGCTAATGCCAAACATCGAGGGAAGAACAAAAAGAAAGGAAAACCAAAAAAAAAAATATATATATATATAAAATAACCTCTTATAAGGATTTTTCTTTCATGACTAAAAAGTTTCTTCTATGTGCATTGTTTTTTCTATTTCTTCTTCTTCTATTTCTTATCATTCTTTATCTTATTTCTTCGTTGTGTCATTGTGAAAGAGTATTGTGTATCACATTTTTTGTACTTTCATAAAAAGTAATTATTTAATCAAAAGCAAGTATTTAATTGTTTAATTGAAATATCTTCCAAAAAAAAAAAAAAAAAGAAAATTTTTAATATAATGTACACGTAAGACAAAAATTATCTTTATTAAAATTATACGTTAATATATTTTTTTTTAATAATATTATATATTTGTTATAAATATATTATGTTCAAAAATAGCGTTAAAATTAACGTACACCGAATTATCTTTTAAATTAAACACCAACTTTATAATTTAACTTTTATATTTACACACATATATATATATATATTTTTTATATAATATATAATATATTATATGTATATTTGTTAATATTTAATATATTTCTATTAGGATGATATAAAAGTTCATTGTGTGTGTGTCGTTCATTGTATCACAGATAATGTAATACTTTTGAAACCAATAAAATCACTTCATATATGCTAATAAAATTATTAATTAAATTATTATTAATAAAAAAAAAATAAAACAAACCTACAGAACTTTTGTTTCACTTCAATACTTTTTTTTTGTTTAACACATTTTTTATTTAATCTTTTATCTCAACTAATATTAAATTATATAATAAAATACCTTGAATAATTCGTTGGAGATCTGTTCAAGTAGTCGTCCAGAATGAGAATAAGAAGAACGTCTTTGTCAACGAATCCAACAGAACAACCCTGACTCAACAGAAATGAAGGAAATGGACGAACATTAACCCATGAAAATTCCCTATTAGAATTTTCTTTAGGCGCTCAATTCAAATATCAAATCCTACGATCGTTTCCTCCAATCGTACACAGAAAAAGAAAAATAGTAAAGTGACTTTTAAATGTG